GCTTAGTATACTTAGAATAACATTTAAAATTGTTCATCTCCCGCCCTGAACCAGCTCCCTGCCCTCATGTTGTCTGCAGTACCTGTTCAACATGGGCACTAAGTCATCTTTTGCATTACACTGGGGTTCTAGATTGGGTCAGTCCTTGATTCAGTCCTTGTCTGCCTGATCTGTGGTCCCCCATTGTCTCTACTGTAGTTTAGTCTCTGTTTAATTGAATCACTAAACATCTTCCCCACTCTATTCAGATACTGCTTCCTGGCTAGAAGCCTTTTTATGGAAGCAGTGCTGTTCAGAAACATAACAGTAGCTGAATCCAATGGCTATGCACTTCTAGTCCCAGCTACTTATGAGGCCCACAAGTTCAAGACCAGCCTAGGCAACTTAGAGACAATCCCATCTTTAAAGACAAAAGCATATAGTAGGCTTCTGTCTACAGGATAAAATCTAAACTCTTCCCCACTCTGTTCTCGCAAGTTAGTCTGTTCACCTTTCATTGAAATCATAACTCTCAGCTGTTTCCTAATGTATCTTTTTCATGTTCCCCCTTTTCTCCTTTTCTTACGGCTTTTAACCTTCCCACTTACTCACATTCAAGACCTAGTTCAGATGCTGAACTTCTGAAGAGATCTGACCTGCACTGGCTGGTTTTTTTCCCTCCAGGGTTGTGCATTTTATTCCCGTTAGTAAATAAACTGAAGATATAAATGACTTTTAAAGTAATATATAGGAATTTATCAATCCACTGTCACTTTTACAGGCTTTTTGCACATTCTTAAGGATCTCACCTTTAAAACTAGTTTTTTTAGCTTTACCTTCAGAGAATGTGGCATTTGTCTTCTGAATAGTCTTAAGCCTAACAAACCTTTATTTCAGATGAGTTTATTTTTTAATTTTCTTTATTTTTGAGACAGCATCTCATCACATCACCCTCAGTAGAGTGTTGTGACATCACAGCTCACAGCAACCTCAAACTCTTGAGCTTAAGCAATTCTCTTGCCTCAGCCTCCTGAGTAGCTGGGACTACAGGCACCCACCACAACACCCGGATATTTTTTGGTTGCAGTTGTCATTTAGCAGGCGGGTTGGGCTTGAACCCACCGGCCTTAGTTATGTGGCCAGCACCCTACTCACAGAGCTACAGGTGCCGAGCTATGGGCCATAATTTAATAGGAACTAAGATTGGTGAATAGAATTGTTAATCTCATTTTGACTTTTAGTGTTTTTTTCTGTATCTGTGCAGATTTTTGTCTTTATCCAGATGTACTCTTACTTCTGTGACCTCTCTCACAGCCCTGGCATATTATAGTTATTTAGTACATCTCTTTAATTGCATTGCTCTGTAAACATGTCTCATAACAACATCAAACTCTTGGGCTCAGGTGATCCTCCTACCTCAGCTTCCCGAGTGGCTGGGGCTACAGGTGCCTGCCAAAACACCCGGTATTTTTAGAAACAGGGGTCTCACTCTGGCTCAGGCTGGTCTTGAAATCTTTTTTTTTTTTTTTTTTGAGACAGAGCCTCAAGCTATCCCCCTGGGTAGAGTGCTATGGCATCACAGCTCACAGCAACCTCCAACTCCTGGGCTCAAACAAGTCTCCTGCCTCAGCCTCCCAAGTAGCTGAGACCACAGGCGCCCGCCACAACGCCCAGCTATTTTTTGGTTGTAGCTGTCATTGTTGTTTTAGTGGGCCTGGGCTGGATTCGAACCCACTACTTTAGGTGTATGTGGCTGGCACCTTAGCCACAGGCACCGAGCCAGTCTTGAACTCGTGAACTCAGGCAGTCCACCGCCTTGGCCTTCCAGAGTGCTAGAATTACAGGTGTGAGCCACTGTGTCCAATCTGAATTTTTTTGTGTGTGTGTGGAGACAGGGGTGATCTCCAGAAATCCTCTCTCTCTGACCTCCCAAAGTGCTGAGATCCCTGGCCCTAAAGTACCAGTTTAAATATAGTAGAGGTTTGGCATCCAGGAATTTATCATTTCCAATTTTGGCAATGCCCACGTTGACCCTACTGGTGAACATAATTTAGTTGAAGTATGACATATTCTGGGACTCTGATGTGTAGAAACAAATTCATTGAGAGAGTACTAAATCTAGCTACTGCCTAAGCATCATCTCTTAGCAGGGTTTTATTCTCTGTAGGAGAAATAGAGTCAGTACTATATAATCTCAAGGCTGTCAAATATCTAATGTGTTTGATAAAATTAGTGTTTCTGGAAGAAGGAAGAAAGATAGTCTTACCAGGATTGGACTTCAGGTGCAATCTGTTAATGGGCTTGCAAGATCTGAACACTCTTTCCCATCAGGAGATAGGAAGGACAGTTAGCATAGAGTTTCAGGTGCTTCTGAGCTCACATTTGTTTCTTGACTTGTGTAGGTTTACATGATGATTATTCAAATTTAATAATACACCTAACACATCAGATACAAAGACTGGCATGTGTGAGGCTTTTCTGTAACTGATTTGTAACATTATTTTGACAGCACTGTAACAGGGAAATATGTTTGTATAAACTGCTGTTAACACTTTTTTTATTCTAGACTGAGATTTGAGAAGGAAGCCCGCATCAGAACACGGAAGAAAAGTCTCGAGAAAAAGAAAGAAAAATTTCTTCAGGAGAAGTTTCCACATCTTTCTGAAGCCCAGAAGTCAAGTCTTGCCTAAGATGTTTGAACTCTGGAATTTACCATTTTGTCTTTCTTACATAATAGTCTACATACAAAAGTAAATAAATGTGTACCTAAGTGGTTTATAAAGAAACTTTGTGTTTTAGTTGAGTGAGTGACTTATCAGTTATTATAAATGTTAATACAGCATGCTAATTCTGAAAGTGGTCATTGTTTTACCATGTTTTAAAAAACTAGGTAAAGTTCAGATTAATAGATTCTGACACGTATGCAGGCTTTAATATCATCTGCTGTCCTATAGAAAGTGAAAGTTATAGGCAAATAGGTAGTTTCTGGAATTCAGTTAACAGTTTCACCTTTTTTTTTT